ATTTTATTTCTCCACATTTATATTCGAACAATCAAACTTCATTAAACTCAGACTGTATATTTCCACCCGGAATACAACAACACATTGAACTCTATCACGGAATTCCTCAATCGCCTTCTGTACGAATGAAATCGGAAGTTTTGTCCACGCGGAAACGATCGTTGTCGAAGGTCGACGAGACTTGCAACTTCTTGGCCATCGTACACCGTCCTGTTCAGCTCTGCCCACACCCGATAGTCGAGAGGGTTGAGGTCGGGAGAGGCACTCGGATACTCCGTCTTTTTCAGATATTCCACATCCACGGATTCCAAAAATTCGACGGTTTTTCGAGCTGCGTGCGCCGGTGCCCAGTCCTGTTGAAGCACAAAGTTGCCGTGAGGGTACAACCGACTGCACGACGGCAGAATCTCATCTCGGAGTTGCGCAATGTAGTAGTCGGCGTTGATTTTCAATCCGGGCTCCACTAACAGAAGATCCGTCTTCCCATTCCATGAGACGCCAGCCCACACCATCAAGCCGCGCTGGCTGTTCGACCGCGGTGACTGCAGCACACTAGGACTCAGCTCGGATTTCTTCAGGGTAGTCCAGAGTCGATCGTTGTTCCTGTTCCTCGGAGGTGAGATCAGGAAGAGCTTCTCGTCGCTGAAGACAATCCGCTTGACGAAGTCATCCTCGAGTTTGGGCAGAAGGCGCTCGCAACACTTCCATGCGATTCCTCTGTTGGCGCTCGTTGAGTTTGTGGACCTTTACCTGAACAGAAATGATGAGAGAAGCAGCAGATAAGATCGTGCTAACCTTGGACACCGATTTGTATCCGTGCTTCTTCAGAATCCGCCGGACCGACGAGCGTGGAATTCCCGTGCGCCTGACGATCGTGGAAACCGACAGGCTTGGTTCGTCAGCGACGATGTCCATGAACCATGTGGCGTTGTCGTGACTGCACGAAGCCAGTGGCCTTCCAGATCCACTTCGACGTCCTCCAGCGTGTTGTCCATGTCTGGTCCGATAAAGAAAGTTGACCAGCTGTCTGGAGGTGACGTGGATGCCATAACTTCCTCATTCAGCGCATCCGCGATCGCGGACGGCTTCATCTTTTCGTAGTCGTGCAGAAATTCGAACCAATTCTTGCTTCTTCTGGTCGAGAAACATATTAGACTATACTCCGCGAAATATCCGCCTACCCCCTTTCTCTTTTGCGCCGTAGATCCCACTGGAACTGGCGACGCGCAAAATGTCTTTTTTTTTTGGCCCTCCCCTATATACCCTGTAAGTACGAGCGCTCTGGAACCAAAGGGAACGAGCTTGTGAATTTCCGGTCAGACAGACAAGCACACATACACAGACACACGCATGCGACTGCTTAGCAGTCATAAATAGTAGGATAGGAAAATTTGTTGATCAACTTAAACGTTGATCAGTTGAAGTATGCTACAAAGATTATCTTGACGTGATCGTAGCTGAGAGTACTGTTCACTTTTCATTTGCCCTCTGTGTAGCGGTTAACAGCTGCCGCACAAGCTTTCTCGCTTATGTGCCCCATCGCGAGAACTAACGAAAGAGCACCGAAAGGTACCGCCGTGTCGGTGCTAATTTGTATAACTCTCATCGCACAATCAGCACTAGGTGAGTGATTACAAGCAAAAATTGAAGGCAGTGCTGCAGATAAACCGGTAAATTACAGCTGCAAGGAAGTATCCAGTGAACGAGTCATTCCCTGAAAATAAAGAAACTGGCAGGTGGGCCATCTTCTTGAAGGTAGACGTCGTTGGTTGGAGGTCGTTGCGATTTTGATGGCGTCATTAAACATCATTGATGCAAGGGGTGCAGAACGCCAGTACAGTCAAAGATCTCATCAAAAAAGCGCACCGCCCTGCAGTCATCGTGATCACGGCGCTGGTGTGTTAGAGGGCATTCCTATGCAGGGAACCTAGGGCATTTGAAAAACAACGGTCTCTTATAATATGTAGTATACCAGCTTTGCTCCGCCCGGTATCGCGCGTATCATACGACCTAAGATTCCGCAGGCACTCCAGGTATATTTATCACACATAGCTCTGTAAACACTCGGCCATTCTCCTGAATTTTGATAATTTAGCGGTGAATAGGGTTATGGTGTTAGCCTCACAATTAAATTGCAACATTATCATAAGTGAGCATCTAATGCTGATCCTTCATTCACAGTGTTCGCAAATCCTAAGCTTTGGCGGTCATTAAATGAGTTCTGGTCTTCTTGGTATTAGATCAAGAATGGAATGTACCATTCGCCAAGAGTCTGCTCAAGCCAAGCTGATTATATCGATAGAATGTCCACGACCCACCCCTAATAACACTTATGAAAAGAGCCCCATAGT